TAATAAGTGGTAGGACCTCTTGTGAGTCCGCGCGGGTGGGTACCACCACCCTGCCTATTTCTGCCGTGAAGCAGTAATGCGTTTCGGTTTGAAGGGTGGGGCAGCCGTTGTAACTATACTTGAGACCTTAGAACTTGTATCTCAAGGTGGGTGGCGCATTTAGGTTGTGGATGTCTATGGGCTCCAGTAACCACTTAACACCAGGTGGGCTGTGAGCTCGTCCACCCGTCTAAGCAATAAAAAAAAAAGCGTAAGTATGTATACATAGTAGATAATTATTATTTTTTAAATTTTGTCTATCTGTCTGTTTCGGTTTATCTCTGGAATGGCTGGACCGATTTTGACGGAACTTTCACTCATACGTAGCTGATGATATAAGGAGTAACTTAGGCTACTTTTTTATACTAGTTTCGCCCCGCGGCGTCACCCGCGGTACGACAATAACCGCGGGTAACATCGCGGGACTCAGCTAGTATTTTATATAAATTTATATCTTACATTCGTCTTTTTAATTTACAATCGGTTCAGAAGTAATCTTTTATGACACGCCTCCGTAGTTTGTTATCTTACTTCACTGTTACGTTATTTACATTGATAATATACGTACATACATACATAACGTCTCACACTACCCAAGCTTTGTTTTCGTTTATTCTGAATTTGCATTGTGAATATTTAAATTAGGAATGTTTTAAAATAAATATCTTGTGGCTCCGTCAATGCACTCGACGGTGACCCTGCCGGCTGGTCATCGAGACGTATTGGCACCGGCAGTTGTTTTGACGGGCCCGACGATGGTGGTCGCGTAATATGGCCCTCGCCTCGCGAATCGTATTTTAAAAAAACACTTTCTCCTACACACGGTGATGTGAAATAAAAACCATTCTTAAATTTGACCGCATAAAAGTGTTAATTGCCGCCAGTCTAATTAGTTTCTTTGTGTGTTCGCGAAAAATTATACACATTTAATTTTTGAAAAGTGAAATCTTTTCTATTAATTTTAATTCATCATCGATCGTTTTGTTTAAGTACTGAATCTCTTTGTCTATTTAATGAATGTACACAAGTGTGTGGATCGGGATTTTTCTTTAGCATTTTATACTAAGTTTTTAATTAAAATTGGTTTATTTTTTCTTGCTAGAGTAACATTATCGCATGTTGCCTATCTCTATTATTATCGCTTTCTTGTTTTATCTTTATCATTGACCTTGCGAAATTCAATATTAAATTAAAACGATGCGACGAATTCGCTCTCTTTTTAGAAAAAATACATCTATAAAAATAAAACTTATTAAATCGTCGTAATAAATAGGTGAAATTATAATGTTCAATCGATTTTAATACTTTCCCTTGCACACGTGCCGTAACTATTTTGGCACTCATTGGTCCAAGTCTATGTGTTACGGTTGTTCTATAAACAGTACGGGTCATTCGTGATCGTTTGTATTCAAGAGAACTTTGGAATTTCAATGAATATTAATACGTCTTGTCAATGTTTCGTCGTGCACTTGTAATAGATGCATCCCATATTGCTCTAATATGGTGCCTCATTGTGTTTGATGTTTTAACTTTCGTCGTTTCCTTTTAAGGTACAATGTTTTTTGACGCCTTCCTATTTCTAGTTAATTAATAAAACAAGATATGCGTATAAAACGGGTTGCTGTTAGACATTTCATAAATGAAGTGTCCATAATTTTAGTGCTTCTCGCCAAATTTGGCCGGGGCAAGTTGACATATTTGGTACACGTTCGTTACCTCTAAACCATTGCGTGTATCGTTGAGTTGTGCTTCAGAATGTCAGGAAAAACGATTCGATGTTTTCCTTATCCAATGTGTTAAGAGTTTTTAATACCTGTTTCAAAATGAGGCCACGCATTGTAATGCTATGTGTAATATTGTCTGGTAATAACGGTGCTCGAAAACTCCGGTCGGTTTCAATGTCAGTAGATAATTAGTTGTGGCAATACGCTTTTATGAGCTTATACTCTGGGTATTTAAAATATATCTGAGGTCGTCCTCTGTTTGGGCGTATATTTTCCCTGTTCAAGGTTCTGTCGAAGATGAACTTACCGGTCTTGACGCGGTTGTCGTTTTCATTGTGCGTCATATTTTTGCTGCCGCTTGTAATGTTTATACGTTTACTAGGATCTCATGACTCACGCGTACAGTGTCCGCTACCAGATGATAGTGACGACCGATCGGAATCCGCAGTCTGCTTCAATCAGTTGCGGCACACGCTTTGTTTACGCGCTATTATTAAAAACTCATTTTTAAACGTCACTATTTCAGAGCAGTGCGATGAAGTGCAGTGAAAAAATATAATTTAGATTAATGCCATATGTAATGTGCCAACAGATGAATGTTCAATTGATACCTTATCACAATTGAATCGTAGAACCTTCAAGGATTGTTAACGTTGAAATTAGTAGCATAATAAACAAACTATATTGAATTAACTAGTCAGTGATGTAATGAGAAATAAATAGCAAAAATGTTTTTCGAATCGATCATAAGTATATCATTGGTATTGATATATTTATTGTGGAAGTTTCTTATTCCTGCGAAACGACCTGAAGTCCGATTTTCGGAGTCCGGAGTGGATGAAAATATAGAAAATCAAAAGAAAACGACTCCTTTAGCAGACGCGAAGGGTTCGTCAATAACTAATATTGCAAAAAAAGAGAACGTTGAACCTGCAAGGAGAGTGTCACTCGAGAAAAATGAATTAGAAAAAGTAAATAATTCCATTAATGATTGCAATGAAAACTATGTAAACTCCAAAATAGTAGATACGGAAAGAAATGAAAAAATACATAATGTCCTTGAAAATATTACATTCGAACATCGGAAACAGATAACTGAACCCCATGTGCCACATAGTTATGATATAGCCAACACTAAAGAAATAATAACTCCAAGTGTATTATTAAAACAACGAAATGAAAAAAACATTGAGAAACTGAACAGACGAGAAAGTCCGCCAAAAGAAAAATTAGCGGAATTCCTCGAAAAAACTATTTTAAGCGGTGACAAAATACAGTCGATCATACAAAATTTGTCTTTGGATAAAGACGTTATATTAAAAACCGAAGAAGACTATGTTCCTGCTATTAAACCTATTGATTCGAAGCTTTTAGTTAAAGAAAATAATTTCAGCGAGAAAGCGACAAAACTACAAGAATCCATAGACGAGATAGCCGATACGATAAAACATTTAAGCTCATCTGAAACTAAACAGGATAATTTAGATTATCGAAAATATTCAGACAATGAAAAAGAAAAGGAAAGTTGTATTGAAACCAACAAACAAAAGCCACTACTAGCGCGACTTCAAAAACAATCGGGCGTACCCTCCGGAGTCAACTTCGGTTCGCTCATCGGCGAATTGAAGAGTAAAACTAGAAATACGAGCAACACCTCCTTAAAACCCGTTTTCAAGAAGTTCGATCTTGAAAACGACACCGTGGACAATGCCCAGGTTATTATTTTCTTATGCAATTTCTAAATGTATCATTATTTGTATTTTAAACTCAGGGTTATAGGATGTTTGAATTATAGCGAAACGTTCGTCAAAATTAATTACGTGTTTAATGCCGTTTTCCTGTCGGTTCTCGCTCGTTATTTTGTAATACTGAATATAATATCATTTAATACATAAATAAGTATTTGTACTTAATAAATCTGAATACGTTATGACTAATATTCTAACGCGAAAATCACAATTTTATATTGACATTGATTAGTAAATATAACACACTGAACTTTAGGTAGATGCGAGACTGACCTTGGTTTTCATACATCTCATTGCTGTCACATTAAGCACAGCTCTTAAAAGTGCTGTGTCTTTTAAGAGATGTTAAATCAATTTGGTTACGATTTAAAAACTATTCTTTAAAAAATAATCGATGTTATTAATAGTCAACCGAAACTAGTTCTGCATAGTTTTAATTCAACGATATAGTTACTGAGTATTATCATAGTTATGATAACAACTAGAATCGACTATTTAAAGATTCTCGTAGTTGTCGATTTTTGAGGCTATTTATCCAAATTAAACTTAATTTATTCAGGATGCTTGTTTTTTTTTATTGCTTAGAGATGGGTGGAAGAGCTCACGGCCCGCCTGGTGTTATAGCGATTACCGAAACCCATAGACATCTACAACGTAAATTCCGCAACCTACTTTGAGATATAAGTTCTAAGTTCTCAGTATAGTTACAACGTGTTTAATAAACATTGTTGATATAAACACTAACCTGTTGTCGTTCTTTTATACTTGGTGTGTGTTTTGATAATAGTAACGCTCGGGTGGGTGTACCACTATCCTGACATTATCCGCCGAGAATCGGTCACGCGTTTCGGCTTAAAGAACGAAAGTTAAGTCAGTTGTTTTACGATATGTTTTCGTCCACATATACTTAACTTGAATACTAAGTTACTTAACTTAACTTGAATTGGAGGTATTTACGTATATGGGTGGGTCTTGCAACTACAGCAACCGAAATTCCAATAAATAATAGTTTAAAACTAAACTAAAAAATTACGCCTTTATTGAAATCCAACTAAAAAAATTGAAAATCAATTTTAATAAATTTGAATTAAAAATAGTGTAAGAAAAAATATTTAATTGTAAAAAAAAAGCGTAGGTGCTTTTCAGGATATTATCAAAATAACCCTTCTACTCATATCTGTTTATAAATATAACTACTGATACCATGCATTGCATGCATTTAGTTTTTTAAACTATTATTTATTTATTTTTACATTTTTTAGTTGAATTTAATTTTTTTCATTTTTTTTAAGAAGGAATTCTCGTCGGTCCTGAATAAGTATGCCAAATTTCGAGTTAATCCGACGTTTTGAGGGGGGTCAAAATCATGTTCAAAGATTCCGTTACATACATACTAACATACATACGTCTGATGCTAATAAAAGCGTATTAATAAAAATGATAGCTCGGGTACGAAGGATAAACATATAAATTTGTTTTTTTTTTGCAGGAATCTCTGAACGCTGTCGCAGATGAAAAGAAAAAGGTTCAAGTCGACGAAAACGAATTAGGACCTAATATTCTTGCTGACAGAAGAAACAAATTGGAGACGGCGTCGCAGGTAATACTATCTTTCCACACTATACTACTATGGGTAAAAAAGATAATATACCGATAGATGCTAGGGTGTAGATATTGTTGGCTTGTCTATTCGGTCGGTTTCTGCCCGCTTTGACAGGTTGAAATGATATACAATGCTATCGAGAATTACACACCCAGTAAACGTACTCGTCGAACTCGGCAAAGAGTTCGACGTGCAACCTAACCTCAATCAGACCGCTGAGTTTCTCGCCCGATCTTCTCAGCGGGTCGCGATTCCGATCCGGTAGTAGATTCATTCGCGTTACTCTTGAATTGTTAGGTCTCGTTTGGAGGCGCTCGGTAGCTGTTAGCAAATCCCACCCCTGTACTGGCTGAACCCTTGCTCGCCTAATTGGCCTGGTAAAACTCGAAAAACATCCGGGCCACCAGTAATCTCTCAAACATAAAAAAAGAGTTACACATTGTAATGTCAATGGGCTCTTGTGACATAGCAATAGCTGGGCTGACAGTTCGCCCGGCCAAAAACACTATTATTGGCATCGTTGCATTTGCCAATGCGCGAATGTACCTTAACAGAAGAAACATATTGTGTACTTCAAAAAAAGTTCATCAAGAATAAAGATTAGATGACAATTACCTTAATTATACCATAGAGTTTTAATAATGTAATATGGCGTTTATATAGTTTAATTAATATCCATTACGAAAAGTGCATACGTTTTTCCGTGAGTCATTCGGCATTAGTCAACTTCGGATTCTAAGAAAACTTTGTACACAGAAATACTTGTCTTAGAAAATCATCTTGTTTAATGGCTATTGCACCTTTTAAACCGGAATGTATTACTGATTCGTGGCAGAAATAAGCTGAAAAGGTGGTGTCTATTCTGGCTCAATACGCCCTATACCACCTTTTTTTTATTGCTTAGATGGGTGGACGAGCTCACAGCCCACCTGGTGTTACTGCCCATAGACATCTACAACGTAAATGCGCCACCCATCTTGAGATATAAGTTCTAAGGTCTCAGTATAGTTACCAACGGCTGTGCTACCCTTCAAACCTAACCGCATTACTGCTTCACGGCAGAAATGGGCAGGGTGGTGGTACCTACCCGTGCGGACTCACAAGAGGTCCTACCACCAATAATTAGCTTAACACCACCCGTAGCATGAGTTCGTTTGCCTCTTCGTAACAAAATAGCTTCAAAACATCGCAAGTCTTCATAAACAATACGAGATTGCGCAAATGTTAATATTCGTATGGTTTGTTTGCTTCGAATACCCGCAACCATTGTACGACCTCCGAATACTCGCCTTTCCAATGTTTATTATGCTGGGCCGTACAAAATAACGTTAATTGCGCTAAAAGATATATCCTTAACCTGCACATAAATATTTAAAAGTTCAAGGATACGATTTTTTTTTGTTCAATTCTGTCTATGTATGTGTTTGTGTGTTTTAATACGCTTTTTTATTATATATCAATTCATTTTGTGATTAATTTTAGAACTATTTCTTTTCATGAAAGAATTCCCCCCAATCCCATCAATTGTTCGATAATTAAAGTTAAAATGATGCCACCAAACAATTTTATTTGTATCAAGAATTTAGAAACATTCAGAATAAAATTAGAGATTTGTTTGCTCGGTGCCTGTCATAGAACAAATAGATAGAATAGAATATTGGAAATAAATCTGACTCTCGCTAACGATATCCTTTATAAAAACTTTTTATGTGCATACAAGTTTCGAAAAACCACATTAGAACCGTCAGTTAACCAAACAATGTGGCCTTCTTTGTAGAAGATCTTTCCGTTCGTTTGCTATCACTATAAACTGGTGACCCTGAAGGAACAACTTCAGTCTTAACACTTGAACCATCAGCGCGTCATCAACGTCCACTATTGCATCTCCCGCACTCTCGGAGATCAACAAAGGCCATTCATAACAGTCGTTCCACATCTAAAACTAAAGCTACAAAAAAATATCCAGCAGTTTGATTCCGTCTCGAGGACACATATTAAACATTGAATTTCTGTGGAACAAGCATAACAAAATGTAATTGATTACCTACTACAAATATTTCGTTATTAACATATCGCTTTAACCCATTTCGCACAAAAGAACCAAATGCCGTTTTCTGACAAAAAAAATTATAAAAAAATATATTTTCATCGTACGTAAAGTAATTTATGATCACGTACAGTCTGAATCTGTGCAATCCTTTCTTTCTTTTGTTTTTCCTAGATAAATTCACCGCTATAAAGTTAACAGGCGTAACCCATTATACCCATTGTGGATAACAAGATATTTTTAAAATGATTTCTTTCTAAATTATGACATAAGTACCCAATACAGGGTTTTTTCGAGGCGAGGACTAAAGCATGCTAGTACGACCTTTTAACCAACAGAATCTATGTGCGAGAAAAACCAGCTTCCCCAATGCGTTAGAGCCACGTTCTCGTCAATCTAATAATGAAAAAATATCGGGATTTGTTTCAGGGATGGCGCAAGAGAGTTCCCCAGAACGATGCTACGATGTTCACGGTGGCTGGCCGTCTGGAACGAGACAAGGTCGCTACGACCACACCACCGCTGACTCCTCCGACGATACCATCACCAATGGCAGTTGCGTCACCTGGCATACCGCCTCCGAACAAGTTCAGGTACGGAACGTTAATATAAAATTTATTTAGAGTGTGTGAATTTGTTCCACCTTTTTTAATATAACAGAGTTCCTATAGAACTGAAAACCATTCAGTGAAATTCTGAGACTCGTGTCCATAAAACCAGTTGCTTGCTGGTTGGATATAGCATATGCAGATGTGGAGTATGTTTGAGTGACCAAAAGGTCATATTCCCTATTCGAAACTCCCTCCTTTTTCCCCCATACCTAATAGATTGTAGCCTAAAGGGCTATTGCAGCTACATTCGGGAACTTCCTCCTTACTTTGGCCAACAAAGCTATTTAGCCCTGCTATATTTCCTCATTATAGAATAAGTAACGGTTATTATATTTTCGAATCGCATTCAGGTTGAAGCTTTTTGAGGGACAGCTAAACTTGTTACAGATCCTGATTGAAAAACAATAGATGACGTTCGATCTTAGTAACTTATAAATGTTGATAATAAGATTTATAAAATTCTTACAGTACAATATAATATGTATTACCGTTAAAGAGTTAGTTAAGACGTTTAGATTTTGAATTTTGCACGCTATTATAACTTTAATTGTCTTTGCAATAATGTTAATATATTTTTAAAAAATATTAAATTTTTTTCTTCGTTAGACATTTGGACGAATCTACGAACCTCATGGTTATCTGTAGACATCACAACCACTTTTGGCTGAGCCCTTACTCGTCTACCTGTCCTTGTCAAACTGGAAAGGCCTTCGGGTCACCAGTAAATCCTAAAGAAATATATATTTCAACATGAATTTATTAATTTTTGAGAAATCTAAGCCTTGATTGCATTGTAGACTCTTACTTACTCTTAAAACTGGTAATCGCGATCTCCCGGCGGCAGATAAAAACAAAAATGTAAAACTTGTACGGACAGAAATTAAATTATCCGTCTCGTTGAATTACAAGTCTATTTCAGATTTACGTATTGGTCTATTATAAATTTTGTTTTCGGCATACCAATGATTTCATAACTATGACTAAAGATTCCCGTAATGTGTGGGATGGAATTCAACTCCGTCATTCCCAAATATTAGAAATAGACAAATTCTTCATGTGTCTTTTAGAAATCTAGTACCTGATAAATAATAATAGAATATATAATATATATATATATAAAACTGAGCTACCAGCTAAATATTGACCTATTTAGCTATTTGTTAAACCTATAAAGAAACAAAAGAAGTTTTAAACAGCATATTATGTCCGCATATTTAAAATGTAACTCTGTACTAAGAAAATTTTTATATATCGTAACGACTGGAACGTGCTTTATCACCGATTGTTAAATGACTACTTTCAAATTACATTAAAGATTGTTCTCAATTGCGTAATCTCCGTACTTTTACAAAGTATTGTCACACGTCAGATTTAAATGAAATTTTAAAATGTTTGTGATTACCAAAATGTGTACGCAATATACGGAGGAAAAAACGGTTGTGATTTATATTCATCGTGTGCCGCAATAGTCTGTGATTTATTTGTAATTTATCTGTAATAATTGGGAGGTTTAGCGTCGGTATGCCACCTACCCGGCCGTAAAAATATAACGCCGAGCAACGGGCGGCGGTCAACTAACCCGAACTAGGGCTTCAGTAGCCCAGAGGAACTAAATCGCCTCTGAAATTCTGCTGTGGAAGGACGCGGGAACCCACCACTAGCAATTTTCCCAAGAAAACTTTTACGTATGCGTATGTATTCCGTAAAGGTCACGACCCTCAGCACTGAGGAACACGACGCACGGAGGAGGAGTCTGTAATAGTGCGGTACAAGCTACCTCTGGCTGATCCGATAACAGTTTTGCTGAACTCCAGTAATAAAAAAAATCTTATACAGATCTCGCAAACAGCCATCGTCACCAACAAACGGGTTCCCATCTGGCCCGCTCAGGTCGGCCTCGTGCGCTGTAGTCAGTGCTGCAGCCGTTGAACTGAAACCCAAGGAACCGGTGCAAATCGACAGAGAATCCTTCAAGAGGAGTCATTCCGTCAGCGAGAGTATTAGCAGTAGAGCCGAAGAGAGTGAGTGTTTCTTGTTTCTCTAATACTTTTATACTGGTGGTAGGACTTCTTGTGAGTCCGCGCGGGTGGGTACCACCACCCTACCTATTTCTGCCGTGAAGCAGTAATGCGTTTCGGTTTGAAGGGCGGGGCAGCCGTTGTAACTATACTGAGACCTTAGAACTTATGTCTCAAGGTGGGTGGCGCATTTACGTTGTAGATGTCTATGGGCTTCAGTAACCACTTAACACCAGGTGGGCTGTGAGCTCGTCCACCCATCTAAGCAATAAAAAAAATAGATCTTTCTAAACAGTCGCGTTTGTTTGCGTCGCTTGATCTTGGCTTAATGTTTTTGCTACTTAATCGCATTAGAAGCCTAAAGGGCTATTGCAAATACGCACTAACCGCTGAGCTCACAGGCTCAACCTGAGAGAATGGCTAACACTGACCCTAACAAGGGCAGTGCTTCGCTGACTCTACCAGAGGAATTACGACCCACTTAGAAGACCTGGTGAGAAACTTAGTGGGTTGTGTATATAGGCTAGGTTGCACGTTTGAATTCAACAAGAACTGTGATCGGTACTTGAAGTGCTTAAAAGCTCCGAGGGTGGATCGGGGATCGAATAGGACATGCTTAGGGCGACGCTGGCATTGCGTTGCCTCGTCGCCTGAATCGGATATTTAATTAGGAGATGTTATTGCAATATTGATTTTTCTTTCAGAGGATGAATCTCCCGGTGCAGAAAAGTCGGGTTGCCCAGTTAGAGTGCCACGGGCAGACGATGAGACCTTCCATGCGTTCTTCGCTCCTCTTCAGCAACAGGAGAAGACCGTTGACGCCGTGGACGTCGATCTAGACGCCATCGATAGCGGCTCAAGGCAATTGTAAGTGTGATACTTAGTTGCACAACACTTAGTTTGTCTTGCGATTCCATCTACGTTTAAATCCAAAACATGTTTCATAATTATGATTATGATAAATGGTAGTCTATAAGTATTTTTTTTAGTGGACAAATTAGGTACTTATTCGCTATAAAAATATGTAGACACTGTTTTAACTATAAATAGATCAAACGAATAAACACATATGACCACCAGCGAAGGTGACCATGGTTTAAGCTTTCTGCTACCACAATTATTCGAGATATTTTATTTGCGGAAGAACATTTCGGGAATACACACAAACATCACCGCGATTGTGTTTATATGGGCCGTTTCGATTTGAGGTTGGCGATACACATAGCTCTTAATCCAATATCATAAGAAACAAATTTGTTTTAATAGCATTAAGTCTACCCCTTGCTTTATATGACAGTAATGTTTTTCTTAAAGAAATAAGCAGTGCCTTTGTACATAATTTTCCTATTACTCTGTACTATGTCTTTTTTTCTGTGTGTACATAAATAAATAAATAATGTTTAATGTTTGTGCCAAAGGTTGGCCAATGAATGGAGTCGTCGTGCCAAACGCGAGCGTCGCCACGCCGCCTCCAGGAACCCGCTGAGGGCGCTCGCCGCGCGCACCGACCTGCGCGACGAGTACGTCCCGCCCCCCTCCACCAATATACGGGAACAGCTTATCAAGGAGAAGGGTACGTTCAATTCTAAACCTTATACGCTATTATTTGCAGCACATTTTGAAAGTGAACATTCATGTCATTTATCTGATTAATTACGGATATTGACAGTAATCGATTGTTGATAATAGGAAATCAATCACACGTTGGCCAACACACAAATTTAAAATTCCATTCCGAATTCGACAAAGAAAATTCCATTTTGAATTAGGAAGCTAGGGAGGTGGATGGTAAGGGAATGGAAGATACGCGTTTTCCCGGATGATTAATTAGGGACTCTTGTCAGCGTCGGGTTAAATGCCTTAGTTATAACTTGCATTTTTAAATATATTACATTAGACATGTATATAAATAGATATAAATATAATAATGCAAAGCAGCTTGTTTGTAATCGCCACTTAGAAATAAACAATTATGTTTTAGTTCAAATAAAGTTTTACCAATAATGTAACGAAACATTATGTAGCACTACCTTAAAGTTTTGCGTTTTTTAGTATAATAATTCTGCTGGACCTATTTTAATGTCTTTTAGGGACTTTTAGTAAATTTTAATGACTTTTTTTCATACGTTTGAGTGAATCTATTGTATTGGTTGTATATATGGTAGGTGGCGCACGATTTCTGAATGTTTCTATTTGGTCATAAAGATAACGTTTAATAATAACATAATTTCCAGTGACGGCAAACGTGGGCTTAGCAGCCGAAGCTCTGGCGGCACTCGCCAGCAAGGAAGACTTCGCCAACGTCGCCCTGCGCAGTGCGGCGTCCGGGCCTGCGCCCCCGCACGGCACCCGCGCGCTCATGCTGCTCCACGTCAAGGGCAGGCGACGGGTGCAGGTACATCTCTCGATCTCATCTCAGTCGATGAAGTTTGCGACTCCAATAGGTACAAAGATGGTGAATACATTGAATGAAGCGATCGATTAAAAAAATCGATTAAAAAAATCGATATTTCATCATCAAAAATCCCAATTGTGAGGCTGCAAGAGTAGATTCCGCCGTCCTGTCTACTTCTCCCACGAATCAGTAATCCGTGACGAAAACAGCTATATATAAAGATATTTATAAGTATATTATAATCATAAGGCTGTTTGTTCATATCACACCGAGGTCACCAGTTTGTAAATTGCTCGATAGACCAACAGACCGTATGCTCTTGCTCGGAACTTGTATATACATACATATATAAACGTTTCCTGAAAATATCTCTTGAGTTCTTTGTTAGCTACCGGTATAATTGTGTATTTATTCAATTAAAAAATAAGTGTTTCCTTTAGACAAGACTCGTGGAGCCTGTTCACACGAACATCAACCGAGGTGATTGCTTCATACTCATCTCGGCGGACCAGCTGTTCCTCTATATTGGACAATACGCTAACGTCATTGAAAGGTTCGTGTCTTCTTTTAATATCGTCATTCTCCTGCCCTTCTCCCAGTCACCTGGGGTCGGCGCAACATGCTTTCTCCTTCTATACACCTCTATCATACACAATTTCTTCGCTCACTCGCTTCTAACACATATCGGCTATCACGCAATCCATCCAGTTTTTTTTAGGTCTACCTTTCCTTCTATATCCTTCCACATTCATAGCTAACACTCTCTTGACACTCTCTTACCTATTACGTATATTTTTTTTGATAATTTGCACTAATTAAAAAAACAGTTACTATTTATTAATGAGTCTGGACGAATCGTGTCAATTAAAAGCGACGTATAGAACACGAACAAACAGACCTAAGTTTTTTTTTTTTTATATGTATATTTATATATGTGTTGCAATCCACGAACCATAGGGGGGATCATTTACGGGTCTATCGATGTGATACAAATATACATTAACAACAACATTAATTTATATCTTACTATATACTCGTATATACTTGTATCGTTGTATTGAAATGAATAATTTCCTTTTTCAGAAATCGTAGCATGGACGTGGCCCAGCACATCCTCAACACAAAAGATCTCGGATGCAAGAACGCCGCGAGCATCACGAAAATCGACGAGCAATCGAAGAACTACAACAACAAACATTGGAACCAATTCTGGACAATGCTGGGCGTCACCGAGGACATCGAAGATTACAAACCGACCGAAACCGGACACCCCGACGAAGACGAAATATTCGAGTCGTGCATCGTCCAGACCAACATGTGCTACGAGGTGCTGGACGACGAGCTGGTGCCGATCAAGGAGTACTGGGGCCAGATGCCGAGGATCGCGATGCTGAACCAATCGAAGGTCATCGTATTCGATTTCGGTTCCGAAATGTACATATGGTACGGCAAGAACGTGCCCCTCGAGAGCAGACGTCGCGCGGCCCAGCTCGCCCAGGAGCTGTACGACGACGGCTACAACTACGAGGAGTGCCACGTTAACCCTCTGAACGCCGCAATGTATCAGGGCGCACGCGAACAGATCGACGCGACCGCCAAAACGTCCAAAACCCGACCCGAGTGGGCGATACTGTCCAAAGTCACCCAACACATGGAAACGATTCTGTTCAAAGAGAAGTTCCTCGACTGGCCGGACTACACCCGAGTAATTCGGGTCAAGACCCAAGAGAACAAAACGAACACCGCCGAAATAACTCCGTGCGATGCCGAGGAGATGTGGTCCAACGAGTACCAGGACCCGGATCTCGTTCTAGAGGGATCTCACCTGGGTCGCGGGACGCACTACTACGACAAAGACAACATGAGACATTACGACATCAGAACTAAGTCCGTTTGCAAGTGGCTCGTGCGGGAATACGATTATCAGAAGGTCGAAAACGAAGCCGAGATTCCGGAGTTCTTCTCCGGGGACAGCTACATTATTCGTTGGGAATACCAGATCACCGTCACCGGCCGAGAGCTGAACGGGAAGCCGTCGAAACACAACGTGACCGGCCGAGACCGATGCGCCTACTTCTGCTGGCAGGGGAAGGACGCGTCTCCCAACGAAAAAGGCGCGGCGGCTCTGCTCACCGTCGAGCTGGACCGCGAGAAGGGGCCGCAAGTCCGCGTCGCCCAAGGCAACGAACCTCCCGCCTTCCTGAACCTGTTCCAAGGGAACTTGGTCATATACCAGGGAAAGCGCGGAGTCGATAAGAGCCGATACAGATTATTCGTGACTCGGGGCAATCTGTCGAACGAAGCGTACCTCCTTCAAGTGCCCTGCTCCGTGCGGCAACTTCGAAGCCGCGGCTCGCTGCTTTTGGTCGACACGGAGAAGGGCCGGCTGTACATCTGGCACGGAGCGCGCAGCCTCAAGCACACGAAGAACATCGCCATCGAACTCGCCAACAAGCTGATCGCCAGGAAGTCTGATTACTTGTTCGGCGGCGAGCTGGAGATCAGCGAGGTTAAAGAAGGTGATGAGCCCAAGGAGGTGCTGGAGGGTCTGGGCGTCTCCAACAAGCAGTACTACAACTCGGTGCTGAGCGGCGGGCGGGAGGCGGGCGGTGACGTCACGCCGCGCCTGTTCCACTTCACGGACGCGAGCGGACAGTTCGAGGCTAACGAGGTGTTGTCTCCGCTGCGGCACGAGCAGCTGGTGACACCCTTCCCTTTTGAGCAAAAGGAGTTGTATTCCGCTTCGCAACCTGGTAACTATTGTTCTGATCACATCACATTATGTTTGTCCGGATTACTGCCAGCCACTAGCCACACTTATTACCGGTGGTAGGACCTCTTGTGAGTCCGCACGGGTAGGTACCACCACCCTGCCTATTTCTGCCGTGAAACAGTAATGCGTTTCGGCTTGAAGGGTGGGGCAGCCGTTGTAACTATACTGAGACCTTAGAACTTATATCTCTAGGTAGGTGGCGCCATTTACGATCAGGTGGGCCTTGAGCTCGCCCACCCAACTAAGCAATAAAAAAAAACCACGTTGTGTACATTCGGTGTTCACTCCAAGCCCTAAGGTTCGTTATTATTATTGGCAGCTCTGTTCCTGTTGGACGACGGTCTTCACGTGTGGTTATGGCAGGGATGGTGGCCTCGCGGTGAAGACGGTGAACTTGAACCCGCAGAGATCAACAACGGTAAGACGAACATGATCTCCACAAGATATTCATTTGTTATTTCTATCGTTCGATTTGACGTCACCACGACTCTTAAGACAATATAAATAAATAATAGTTTAAAAAAAAAGCAAAAAACACTCTTATAAAGAAAATCCAACTAAAAAATAGAAAATAAATTTATTAAAAAACTAGCGGCCCGCCTCGGTTTCGCTTGGGTAGGTAAAGAATTTTAGGTAATTTTTTTACACATTGGGTTACATTATTCGAGTTTCAGTAAGGATCCCTATATTTTTTTTTAATATTATAAATATAGCCTATGTCACCCGCGGATAGCGTAGCTTTCCAACAGTGAAAGAATTTTTCAAATCGATTCAGTAGTTTCGGAGCCTATTCAATACAAACAAACAAACAAATCTTTCCTCTTTATAATATTAGTATAGAAAACTTATGTTTTCATAAATTATTCGTTACTGTACATTTAGGCAAATACAACAGCTTCCAATTTGATAAGCGAAAAAAGGGAGACGCTCAAATAAATTTATTGTTTTGACTGCCGAAAGTAAATAACGGGTCTAACTGTTTAAAATATTGAATTGTCATCAGTCCTTGATAAGTAAATTTTGACTTAATCCGACCTTTTGAAGGGGGTCAAAATAATGTTCAAATATTCCGTTACATACCAACATACGTATGAAGCTAATAAAAGCGTATTAAAAATGTTGCTTGTTTATCAATTCCAGGTGTGGGAGCGTTCGCAGGTCGGTGGCAGGCCGTGCGCGGCGCCGCCCTCCGCACCGCCGCCGCGTACTGTCGCCGCCCCGCGCCCCCCACCGCGCCCTCCACCGCGCCCCCCGCCGAGCTGCGCGTGGTCGCGGCCGGGCTGGAGCCGCAGGCCTTCACCGACCTTTTCGACACCTGGGAGCATCACGACGAAGCCGCCGACGCTAACATTGCTGTGAGTTTTATTCTCTGCAATAAACATTCGGTGTGGGTTAACATTGTAATTGTCTATATTAAGATTGATACGGTAAAAGGCAACGTTCCACTAACGAATATGGATGTTATTTATAAGACACGGTGGACATAAACTTCAAACTATATAAATAATTATCAATTTTAATAAAGTATCATCATGAATTGTAATCGTGCTTACAATACACTATAGAAATTTTCTGAAGCCAATAAATGTACGTATATTCGATAGTACATTGCTGGATACTAGCACGTCATAGCAAACTGTAAAGGTCCGGGCAGCAATGGACAGGACACAGCAATGGAATTGGTTCTGTGACGTGTCGTTTACATGAGATGTTACGGATTAATTATGTGCTTCACGAAATCTCTAAGATACTGATCACAATATGATGAGAAAATTTAATAGTGTAAAAAATAATACACAATAGAAACAAAATTCGGTCTTATTCCTAACACCTATCATTATTACATAAGCGGTGAGGGAAAAAAACAAGAACGGAGTATGTGTCTTACAATATTAATAAAAATCATCTTTCACAGTAACAATACTGTATTTATAGGTATATACGAAAACCCTGCAACATAATATACATATTCCATATGTATGGGTACATGCACACACATATTCATACATGTATATAAGATTAAAAATAAATAAAATATCTTTAAGTGTAAAATAAAATGTAAATTTATCACATAATAATTTAAGACGCATCATCATTGTGTATATACGATTTAATGCTTTGAAAACATATTTATTGTTTTGATTGGTGTTGGTCGATACTGTATAATGCTTTCTTCTTCTTAATTTTTTGGCTCCGGCACGGTTTGTGCATTAGCCAGCGTCAAGTAATAAGATTTTTATAATTCGCCGTTTTAATTATTTACAGTTTATGAATAATAAAATTCGAAGGAAACTAATCGCAACATAACATAAATGATTGAAAAGTAATTAAATTTATAAATGAGATGACATGTGATCAAATATAATCTCAGTAAAATGGTGATCCTTTACTGAGAATTTTTCAGTGAACTTTTTGGAGGACCCAAGAAGCTACGTCCAGCAGTTTTGCTTCATTTTACCACAATTGTGCACTTTCACAAATACTAAACCACCGTTATTATGCATTTAAACACTAAATAGACAAAATAAAACAAATCACACAACTTCACTCATTCGTTTCTTTGTGTCTAAAAACGAAACCTACTTTTTTATTTAAAAAAAGGAAAGACTTGTAAGCTTTGTGAAATAACTTGCACTGAACATATAAAATACTAGCCATACTCGCCCGCTTCTTATTTATTGTCATTATTATTCTGGAGTCCAACCACTCATATAAATATTAGCCTATCCATTAAGTACATGTATTTTCTACATGGATATCAAGTTTCAAGTCAATCGGATGCATGGTTCAGTAGTAATAACGGAACATCCGTAAAAACCACTGTATAATTTGGAACGAAGTTCCTTATGGGACGATGCGGAGGGGTACCCTAACCGGGAAAAAACGTCCGTAACGTAAGATTTTTATTAGTAATGCACACAGTGTACGACTTAACGTTGTAATAACGTACAAATTAGTAATGCACACGGTGTACGACTTAACTTTGTAATAACGTACAAAAAATAACATATTTTTTATCATTCATTGACCACGATCTCAGAGCGTTCGTTTGCGCAATACACTAACTCTTATGCAAAAAACGTGAATTAAGTGTACTACAATAAGTTCGCACGTTACCGAATGACCGTGGGTTGTTGCAAATTCTCCAGTTTTATTTTCTTTTCTTTATGCTTCGAATAGAACTTAAAATTAATATTTTTTATAATAAGGAACTTCGTTCCTATCCGGTGTCCCACGACACCACACATCTTTTATATATTAGTATAGATTTTAAGGAAATGCACATTGTAAAAAAAGCGCACATCGGTAAAGGGGCACCTGTACATTGCAGCACGGGTTCAAGGCGGGGGAGGTACTGTGCGGGGTGCGGGAGCTGACGCGCCTGTCGAGCCGCGCCGAGTTGCCGCTGGCCGCGCTGCAGCGCCGCCCGCTGCCCGACCACGTCGACCCGCATCACCTCGAGCGGCACCTCTCGGCGCACGACTTCACGGTAACCTTGTGCTCGATGAAGTGCTGATAGCTCGCTCGTCGTTTCGTACACGTTTTTTTTTTGTCACTCCGTTAACGGACATTTGGCAAGTCGTCCTTTTAGTCGGTCGTTGTGATTCTTGAAAAAATGGCGACTGGCGATAGCTCGCTCGTTTCGTACACGTTTTTGATGTGAAACTTCTTTAGAATCGTTGTGATTTCAAACTCGATGAAACGAAAAAATAAGTCCATAGAGACACAAACACATTAATGTATAGGATTATAGGATTCAGCCGGCGAGAGAACGAGATAGAACACATTGGATGCTCTCGGTCTCCTCTTTGTACGACTCTTCGTAGCATCCCCACTATCGTCTACTAAACATTGTCCATATGTATGTTCCTGTGTAGTGGGATAGTCAGTATATGTATATATATCTATATCTTATTTATAAGTTTCACTTCTACCGTGTGTGACTTCCTCACACACACATCATTTTTTTTGTCGATCCGATTACTGACCTTTGGCAACACGTCCTTTTAGTCGTCGTGATTCTAGAAATAATGACGACTGGCGATAACTCGCTAGTTTCGGTTCGCGTTTTTTTGTCGACATGTTAACGGACCTTTGGCAACTCGTCCTTTTAGCTGGTCGTTGTGATTCTAGAAAAATTATAGGTTCTATCTGGAAATGATGTCAATTGTTCACTGTAATAAGTCAGCATTCTTCTTACACGTTCACTTTTCAAGAAACAAAAACGAAATAGATTTATGAAATGAAACAATTAAACGCTATGAACCCCTAAATAGTTAATGTTGCATATTTAAGTAACTTATTGTGTTGGTCCGAACAAGAATGGGAGTGTGAACTGATGTATTTGAATACGTAAGTTAATCAAACACCAAATGTCAGTCCAAGCTGTAGAGTATTCAACGGTAGACGACGGTGAGCGACGGTAACCACTCACCATCAGGTAGGCCGTATGCCTATAGGGCAATAAAAAAAAAAGCTTGTCTCAATGTCATCCTCATTAACAGCCTATTTTACTCCACTGTTGGATGTAGGTAGGGTAGGTAGGCCTTCGTTCCTCCACCTTGTTTGTTACTGGGCTTCCTTCACTACGTTTACCCCGATCCGCAGTCTCCAGTCCAGAATTCGTCTACCCCAAAGTTTATCGGTTCTGCGACAGATATGACCACTCATTGCCACTTCAGTTTGCTTCCGTTGAGTTATGTCGGCAACTTTCACTCATATGCGATTGACTTCGTTTCGTTTACGATCTCTCAGAAAAACACCGAGTATCGGAACGGCTCTGCCCTAAGTGTCAACGTATCGGCTAAATAGGTTATGACGGCTAGGATGCACTGGTTGTAGACTTTTGTCGTTAGGTTTTGCGGAATGGAGAACGAGAAAATTCGACGAAGCTTACCAAAAGCTGCCCAGCCCCACTGAATACTTCTAGTAGCTTCACTCTCATAATTGTTTTTATCCAACAGTAGCGTCTGCCCTCAGTAATACTTATCGATAACTTCGAGCGTGAAACTAATGTACCAATGTGTCTAAAGTGTACCTTAAAGTGTAGTGTAAATAAAAACTTATACTAATTTAGTTGTTACTTAAGTTGGGATTTTCTTGTAAATGACACAGACACACGTAAAAACTACAACGAATCTTAATTATCAACTGTGAAATATGTTTAACAATTACCAAGACTAGAATCTAACACGAGTCACAGGGTACGGTTGTCAGATTAATAATTAAACTAACGTTTAAAGACGAAATTTATCACATTTTTTTTCAATAATTGCAGGAGGCCTTTGGTATGACTCAAGAAGAATTCGCGGTTCTGCCGGCCTGGAAACAGACTAACATGAAGAAAGATCTCGGACTGTTTTGATCGATCAGCCTTTTCGCACTTGTTGGATCTGTACACTGCGCGTCCGGCGCGACCGATCGCGACGCGAGACGCGGGATCGAGGTCGATGATACATTTCTATCGATAGTCGAAGCCCGACTCTAATCGACAACATTCTTGCTGTGAGATATCGATAAGTGTTCAGTAGTATTGAGAAATGCCGTGTCGATGTTGTTTGTTCGCGTTTCGTGTAAGTCCCGATAGACGCGCGAGACACAATGAATGTCTCCCGATTAGATTAGTATTTTGTAAATCAGCAGCTGTTTCGTACTTTTTTACCGAGAATGTCAATGGATTTGATGTAACTAATAATTTTAAGGGCACGCTTTAAATCTATAGTTAATCGAATGGAACAATCGTTTTCTACTAACTAACGTTATGTACCTAACTATGTATTCGCTCTCGTGATATTATCATATAGCCGCGGTAAGGACTAGGCGATGTAGCCGTTTAATGCGGATTTGTTCGTTGGAATTGTGTCTTTGGTAAATATAATATTATCGATAATGTGATATCCACGACTTTGCTTGTTTTGTATATAATTGTTTTTATATTTATTCCTTACAACCCTATTCTGTCTGTATAATTTTATATGCACATTATTATGATTTTGAAAATTTTGTAAAGTACTTTAGTAGATGTTTTTTTAATCGGAGTTTTTAGTCGAACGTGGATGTGACATATCGATAGGTTATCGATATCGATAAATAGAGATATTTTTTGATACGACCGTCAGGTGTTGTCGAGTAGCGCCAAACACCAAATAGGGTTGTCTCGCGACGTCCGTCGACAACATCCGCCGAGTAATGTTCAAACTACGATTATTTGTTTATTATCCTAGTTATACAAACATGTAATTTACTTATTGCTCGCTTTAGTCGGTAGGAGTTGTATGCGACTGTCGTTACGTCATGCACAAATTGGATACGCTAAAACGACGTTATTTAGTCGCACGTTTTACATAAAATAATAATGTAATATTTTTAACACATCACATATCTACTCATTGCTACTATTTATATAAACTGTGCGTTAGGTAGACCACGGTGTATTTGATATATGGCACTGTTTGCCGAGTATGCCTTAGGTTAACTTAGCTATCTTTTTTTTTTTATATATCCTCATCGATTGACATAATACTGCTGACTTTTTTTTTTCTAAATTACCCAGTATGACAGTTTCTATTTAAAAAATGATAATGATGATGATAAATAATTAAAACTGTGCTCCACTCGTACTCCTTTTTTTGTATTTGTATTTTTAATACTTCATTACTACTACATGCTCTGTTTTCAATATTATCGATGAGTAGAGTTCGCTAACACACAATGAAATAGTTTTGTATCTTCAAAGCCCCTCATTGCATTTAGGGTCGGCAGAAGGCGGCCGTCAGACATCTCTCAAGTCCGGTTAACGTTTTGCTTCGGTTGTGTTACTTATACTTATGATTATTATTGTATTTGAGATTTATTTTGTATAATAATGATGTAATAAATTGCTAAAAAAATGTTTTCGTCGTTTTTTTTCCATTAATGACCTACATATAGAAACAGAAGGTTTAATTATGTGTTCGTCCTCGGTGTTTTTTTTTAATTGTCATTGTAGGTAGACGAGCATACGGCCAACCTGATGGTGAGTGGTTACCGTCACCCATGGACTTCAGCAATGCCAGGGACAGAGCCAAGCCGCTGCCTACCGTTAAGTACTCTCCACAAGCCTCGTTTGAAGAAGGACATGTGGAAGAAGGACAGCTCACTCCAAAGCTGGATGGTACGTGGTAAAAAAGGTTTCTGGAAGCGCACTGTGGACTAACGCTGTGGCTACAGGAAATATGAATGAACTCTACTCCAGTGACGGGCGGTGCGATGGTAAAACGAGATGATGCAATCAAACAATTCCTCGGAGCACTCCCTGTGTGTTCGTAATTCATCCGACTGTAATGAAGCTTGGTACAAGTCTTTCAGTAAAGGTCTCTAATTGGCATTAAGTGGGGTGCGACCGTGTTTTATGTATACAAATGCCGTAATTAAGAAAATAATAGACTATTAAAACCGAGTGTATCGTGATGATAACTAAACGTATAGGTTAAGGAATGAAAATGTAAGTGAAGGTTATGGTTGAGATAGAAATTATGCTCTGTCCTTGTCTTGCAAAGCAGGGTTAATGTGAAAGTCGTATGCAGAACGTAATGGTGGGCGAAAAACTTTGATTCTCTGGTTAGTATGAAGACGAAATGCTTTTTTATTATTCGTTTATCAACTACGCTGAATAGTACATCAGTTTTTCGAACTTTCTTTCTCCATAGTAGATCCGTACCATATATAAATAATTACTAGGGTATAAAACATGTTGCTGCTCGGTTAGACCCAAAAGACCTGAATTTTCTCCAAAAACTTAACCGCATAAGAATCGCCGAGCACATACTAGAACGAGTAAATGTCGACCCAACATTCATTAAACCCATTGTTATTGGTGACGAGACGTGGGGTTACGTGTTTGACATGCAAACAAGCTTCAGAAGGGTGCCTTCCTACTTAAACAAAACTGAAAAACCATGCCAAGTCATTTTGACTTTTTTCTTTGACTATCGTAATATTGGGCACTCTGAATTCTTTCCGGAAGGTAAAACGATAAATAAAGAATATTAATCGAGCGATAGTTGCGGAAAGCAAATTCAATGAAAAAGACCAGATTTATGGAAAAAAATCTTGGATTTTGTATCCCGTCTTCACATCAAGTCATCATTGTGATTGAAAATTTAGACCAAAAACTCAACAATATGTGCACACACATAAAGGAGCATTCGCAGTGTGAACAGAACTCAATAGTGGAAAAAATGTTTAAAAAATTGTTTTGTTGAATAGATTATATTAATTCTTCGTTTCTAATGGAGCATACTTAAAATAAATTTGCATAGATAACTTTTTTGATCCTTTTCCCGTGCTGTCTTGACAGAGTAAACTCTGTATATTTGTTTGGTGTATTGTTTATTTTAAATGTCTATCGTGAGCAAACATAACATCAGAATTACCCAAAGGTACAATAGGTAGCGCACCCATCGCCTATTTTATATATATCTATCTTTAACCAGTGTGCGTGTTGAAACAGCGCCCCTAGCGGTAATCTGTTCCAACTCCATGCAAATTTGAGTTAACTTTTACGCGATCGAGAAACGTAACTCGCACTAAGCACCCAGAATTTACTTGAAGCTATAAGCACCTTGTAAAAGTTACGTAATACCTCCTTGTCACCAACAAATGTTAGAAGTGACAATTATCGAGTAGTTGAGCAACGTCAACGAATTGTTCGAGATGATACCGTCATCTCGTTTTTACCATCGCACCGCTCGCCATCGGAGTAGGGTTCATCCATACTACCTGGAGCCACTGCGGTCATCCACAGTGCGTTTCCAGAGGTCTTTTTTGCCACGTACCATCCGGCTATGGAATGAGCTCCCCTCCACGTTGTTTCCCGAGCGCTATGAGATGTCTTTCTTCAAACGAGGCTTGTGGAGAGTATTAAGCGGTAGGCTGCGGCTTGGCTCTGCCCCTGGCATTGCTGAAGTCCATGGGTGACGGTAACCACTCACCATCAGGTGGGCCGTGCGCTCGTCTGCCTACAAGGGCAATAAAAAAAAGTCATGTCCTTAGGACAAAATAAATAGTATATACGTACTGATTACAGTATATTTACAAAATTGCACAAAGTGATCCTAACATCTAAATTAATAAATTAAATTAATTACTTATTCACTCAGCAAATCAAGTTGGCATTCCTACTGGAACTGCTTTTGACTGCTATATTCCGGTTCAAGCGAAAAATTTAAAAAACCTCTTAANAAAAAAAAGTCATGTCCTTAGGACAAAATAAATAGTATATACGTACTGATTACAGTATATTTACAAAATTGCACAAAGTGATCCTAACATCTAAATTAATAAATTAAATTAATTACTTATTCACTCAGCAAATCAAGTTGGCATTCCTACTGGAACTGCTTTTGACTGCTATATTCCGGTTCAAGCGAAAAATTTAAAAAACCTCTTAATGAAGCTCTTTTCTTTTAATTCTTCCTCTTCGGCTTCAAGTTCTTCCACTGCGTCTTCAATCTCTTCTTGATCATCATCATCGTTTTCTGTTTCTTCTTGCCTCAATGATCTCTTAGAGCGCTTTTCAACTTCTTCCTCGTCCTCGTCATTGACATCATCCTCATTATCATCATCATCCTCATCGTCGTCATTATCCTCAGTTTCTTCTTGCCTCAATGATCTCTTAGAGCGCTTTTCAACTTCTTCCTCGTCCTCGTCTTCGACATCATCCTCATCATCATCATCATCCTCATCGTTATCATTATCTTCAGTTTCTTCTTGCCTCAATGATCTCTCAGAGCGCTTTTCAACTTCTTCCTCGTCCTCGTCTTCGACACCATCCTCGTCATCATAATCATCGTCATCATTATCCTCAGTTTCTTCTTGTTTCAATGATCTCTTAGAGCGCTTTTCAACTTCTTCCTCATCCTCGTCCTCATCATCCTCATCGTCATCATCACCCTCGGTTTCTTCTTGTCTCAATGATCTCTTCGAGCGCTTTTCAGCTTCTTCCTCTTCCTCATCCTCGTCTTCATCCTCCTCATCATCATCATCATCATCATCCTCAGTTTCTTCTTGTTTCAATGATCTCTTCGAGCGCTTTTCAACTTCTTCCTCGTCCTCATCTTCCTCCTCATCATCATCATCATCATCATCCTCGGTTTCTTCTTGTTTCAATGATCTCTTCGAGCGTTTTTCAACTTCTTCCTCGTCCTCATCTTCCTCCTCATCATCATCATCATCATCCTCGGTTTCTTCTTGTTTCAATGATCTCTTAGAGCGCTTTTCAACTTCTTCCTCATCCTCGTCCTCATCCTCATCATCCTCATTCTCATCATCACCCTCAGTTTCTTCTTGTCTCAATGATCTCTTCGAGCGTTTTTCAGCTTCTTCCTCTTCCTCATTCTCGTCATCATCCTCCTCATTGTCATCATTATCATTTTCCACAGTATCAGTGCCTTCTTCGTCTTCATCGTCTTGATCGTCTTCTTGTTCAACTTCTTCCTGTCTTACGCGAGAAGATTTAACAAAACGCCAAACGGCATCCTCCTGCCATTCTTCTCCGGACCCTTCATCGTTTTCAGCAACTTCATCACTAGGCTGCGCTGGTTCTTCTACTTGGTTCTCCTCAGAATCAATGGGTTCGAGTTCGGGTTCTTCGGGTTCAGATTCTGGCTCAGGCTCTTGTTCTGGTTCTATCTCCGGTTCTGGTTCCGGTTCAGGTTCAGGCTCGGGTTCTGGTTCGGGTTCAGGTTCAGGTTCCGGCTCTGGTTCTGGTTCTGGTTCAACTTTTGCACAGCGCTCTGGTAGGTCCGACCAGTCGCAAACCTATAAAGCAATAACCAGGTCTATTACACCGCCGCTTCGATCTCAAAATTATTTGTTTTCTAAAACCACAACTCTAAAAACAATTAATTTTAATAAAAGTCAAAATAACAAACCTGTTCTGCCTCGTTAAACCATGTCTCTTCTGGACATCGCATAAGATATGAGCGGCCAGCATAGCACTGGAAGTAGTGGAAACAATCTTCAATGCTGGCTATCCTCAGGAAGTTCTCCTGGCCAATGCACAGCGTCTCCGGGTTCTGTCTCAAGTTTATTGAGAATGCGGAGGCCCCGACCAGCGCCGCCGCGCAACACAGGAGCCACAAGGCTTCTGGAATCAATACAAAATAATATATTGACGTACATAAAAAAAAAAAGGTTGAGCCCGTGAGCTCACCTACGTTCTCTGCGTTCGTAGCCACTTAGGCTACGAACGATTAGGTAGGGAAAGAAAACGATTACGATCTTAGGTACATTAGGACAATTTTATCTTTTTTTTTTGGATATTACAATTTTATCTAAACATTTTTCACCTATCGACGAACGCTTCTATTAATTACACTAGGTGTTAGGTCCGCTTCCGAAAACGAAGACAGACGATAGTACTTCCATAAAATAAAGTAAAGGGCATAATAATAGCTATTTTTCAAGGGGCCTTGAAAACAAACCAAGTAGTTTTTTTAATACAACTCACGAAGAGAAAATAAATCAGTTTATTGTTCTTCCTATAAAATTTGTGTATAGTCAGATAGGAGGTGTCAGAAGCTCACTGACGTTATGCAATTTTTTTGATATTCGTACGCAACTTCCCGTAAATATAAAACAAGACCGAGATAGAGAGAGAGAGACAGAGAAAGAGATGACGTCGTATGGAAAGTGCATAACCGTTTTTCCGTATGTGACGGTTTCTATTATTCAACTCTTACTGTACCCTGCCGTAAAAAATAGTTTTAGAAAGAAAAGAAAAACTAATTATCTGAATTACACTTTTACCGTTATTTTGTTCAAATTGTCATTTATATTATACTAGCTTTTGCCCGCGACTTGGTCCGCGTGGAATAGTTACCTTTGCATAACGCAAAATTTTACCCGCCTCTTCATTTACGTAGAAAGTGAAAATATTTTGAATAATAGAATGTTAGGGAACTATTTAGGGTACCAAACTCGCGCTTTTTTAACCGACTTCAAAAGAGGAACTTATGAATTCGACCATAATTTTTTATCTATGTATGTTCACCGATTTCTCGAGAATGCTTGAACCGATTCTGATAATTCTTTTATCTTTTTTTTGTTCGAAAGGGTAGACTTCCCGAATGGTCCTGTTTACATGAAGATCTGATGATAGGATCTTGGAGAAATCCAGAAAAATCAATAATTGTCAAAGTCTATCTTGAAGTGATTTGGGTGTTTGGGATAAGGATTATATCATCTTTATAAAAACACCTTCACAAAAAATACTTTTTTTAGAACAAATTTGTTTAACATAAAAAACGTTATATTGAGCCAAACTTAATATATAGACATATGCCGTCGAGGACTATTTTAGAATCTTTAAAATGGGACAATTCTCTCATACATTACTTTAGCGAAACTTTAACGGTTTCCGCAGCGCATGCAGTGAAAGCTCTCAAAAGAGAAAAAAAACCCGATTTTGAAACATTATCTATTGGTGCTCCGCTTTCATTGGTCTTAGCGTGACGTTATATAGTCTGTATATAGCCTTCTTCGATTAATGGGCTATCTATCAATGAAAGAATTTTTCAAATCGGACCAGTAGCTCCTGAGATTAGCGCGTTCAAACAAATAAACAAACTCTTCAGCTTTATAACATTAGTATAGATTTGGAAGTTAAAAAAGCTAGCTGCGTTCCATAATGATCATATTTTATATTTTAATTTCGAATAAGTTACGTCTAAGGTTATGTAACATGCAAACAACGGAAACTTTGTCAGGTTTTTTGAATTTACATAACTTTTAAGTAACTATGATCAAATGCTTAAACAAGTACGGTAATTTAGTTTAATTTAACTAAGCCGTTAATTACTGAGAATATTAAAACTTACTGTTCATGTTGACCGCTACCAAAAATGCGTCCGATGCGATCTACTCAGAAAATAAAACAGAAATTGGTAAAACCATCAATTTTATCGAGAGCACCGTATCTCGAAGACGTGATAACGTCAGGAATTATGTAGGCAGATAGATACACGGGAGATATTGTCGATCGACAGCTCCTTATCAAACATTAAGGTCCGTTTCCGTAAAGGCTATTTGTTTTACCGTGACGAAGTATTTTATTTTTTAAACTACAAAGTTTGGCGTTAGGCGACACGAGACTGGATATAGCTTAAAATGTGAATTAATACGAGAAAGCCCAATAGGCCCAAACGTTGGTCCGACCAGATCTCCGGGCAAACCAGCGGATCACCTTAGCGCTGCATTACACCAGGCAATTGACCGGAGCCGATGGAAGCTGGCGGTCGACAAGCTGAAACGGAGTCACGATCCTCAGTAATGAGCGAGCGTTGGAGAAGAAGAAAGAATACGAGAATATCAAAAAAAATATTGTAAAGGGTAACCCGGAACGACTAAAAGTGATATTTCTGGAGAACGATTGTTAGGAGAGTGAACCCAATCAGCAATAAGAAAATTCTGCTAGTGTTAGCAAATTCTGTCAGGTTGAGCCTGTGAGCTCACCTACCTGTGCGAGCGTAGCCCCTTGAGCTATTTACGAATAGGAAAGAAAAAAAAAATCTGGAAGAATAAAATAACGATAATAACTGGTCTCTGTTTTCACAATACTATTTATTTTCAAAGAAATGCTTTAGTGAAACCGTCCCTAGAATCCGTTTCAGCGGTCAGTCGCAATTCAGATAATCGATATGTCCTTGCACACAAGTATCACTCGCGAATACTCTGGCATTTACTAGAGAGTTTACTGATATTATCGTCAATTGTAGGAAATCACGCGACCCAACGGCTTCTATCAGTCAATTCTGTTACTGGAATATTTGAGTGAGATTAAAATTCCGTCCATAATACACCCAGACTTACATAATAATCTTATTACGGATGATGCCCCGTCGCATGTTATCTGCAGTTTTGTCGAAGTCTCAAATTTTTCATTGCATTGAAAGATGTCGTGTCAGGGTTGCCAATGTAATGGATTTACATATAGAGGGGACATTGTTACTCTCATTTTTGTTATCGAAGGAAGACCTTCTACACTAGAAGAGATAATTTTGCTACACTATAAAAATATTTTCATTGTTTCTTTTTTCTTAATCAGGAGCAGATTGTTAATGTTTAATTTTTTTCTGATAATTGGGAGTTTATCAGTCGAGTTGGCTTTATGCGATATATGTATTAGGGATATATAAATATTGTTTTCATTTCTTCCTCCTGTTTACTTATATTTACTTTTACTATTATAAATAATGCCATATTCCAAACTAAAATTGCGATAACGCGATAAAAATACGGAGAAAGGCATTAGCAACCTGCCTGCCTAGTCTCAAAACTGATATGTGTAGGACATGTAGAATATTAATATTAGATATTCTATTATAAAAACCTCGAAAATCATATCAATAGGAAATCTATACTATCTATATCTATAGTATTATTTCTGTTTGTCTGTTCAAATTTTTGCGAAATTCCGTATAGAAATAATTTGACTTGTATTTAAAAATATGCACTGATTTTATCCCACCGCTGATCACGTGTCTGCGCCCACGTGATATAAAGTAAAGATGTTGCTACTACATCCATGCGATTTGAAGAATAAAAAAATGTTGCAAAGCATATACATATCGCATATGCGGTGCAACAATGTCACTTTTGCGATTCTTGTTAAAACTGAGCTGAGTTTGAAAAAAATCAATTTTTTAATAGTTATTTATGAGATGTTTGCTTTTAATAATAACGTGTAAAGCTGTACTTTAAATATTATCATTTTATTTCTTTAGTCGAGAAGAACTATATAATTGTATTAAGATGTTGAATTATACAACGCTTCTCCTGAAAATTACATAATTTGCATAAGCGATGTTATAACGCCGTATATGCGATATGTAGATCTGAAGTTAAGTTGGAGTCCTGACGTGCCGATAAAAAAATGAAAACATAACATTGAATCCGAGATAAATAGTACTCGAGCAGTTTGAAATTCTACTCGTGACAACGACATTTAGGTAATCCACATCAACGATTAAAATGACTTACAAGATTAACACATACGAGATTTGAACGATTTCCCGTTTCTCCTTTGAAGAATTGTCATCGACAGTTTTCCTTTATCATTACAAAATTTCTAGCAGCGATAGTGTCAAATCGCGTTTGACAACAGATTGTTGTCGCCGGCTGTCACAATCGGAATACGTTTTTATCAGTTTCAAGTGCATTTCATTTAAATTTTATGAAGCATTTTAGGATTTGGCTACTACTTTGCACTGTTAAATAAATCTGTCATTCAACAGTTACTTGACATAAGCTTATACCATTGTTAGTTTCTTTGGTTTTATTTTATTTTCGGTACAACTAAGCTTAGTTATTTGATCGAAGTAACTAAATAAACTTAGAATGCCTTTAACATTCATCTATAATTCTATATTTATAATATTATAAAGGGGAAAGATTTGTTTGTTTGTTTGTATTGAATAGTCTCCGAAACTACTGAACCGATTTGAAAATTTCTTTTACTGTTTGGAAGCTTCACTATTCCCAAGTGACATAGGGTATAATCTTTTTTGAAAAAAAATCTCTACATCTTTACATCTCAATGTAAATCTTTACATCGCGTGCCCTGTGAAAACTATTGAAGATAGCATATGTCTAACTATTACAGTTATGCCGCAATAAGTGTTCTTTTATTTAAAAAAATAAAACGTCAAATATCGACACCCGAGCGGAGCTGGAGCGGGCCGCTAGTAAATAATATAATATTAGCCCTACCAATTCTTTTAACGGTTTTCAAGTTACGTCACGCCGGTAGATTGCTAGGTGAACAAACGATGAAGTTATGGGTTCGATTTCCACATTTTCTCCTTTTCTTTTCAGGTGGTGTCGTAATATAATTAGAAGTTTAATTTCAATGTGTATATGGAATTCAGTTGTTACCACAACACACGGTTGGATTTTATTATATCCACTTCTCCATTCATTCACAGTGACTTTCTGAGGTTTCTCACTGAACTTCTTCTAGGCTTGCACGATAAAGAGATTATTTTATCATGTCTCTAGGCAAACTGTATGAGCGTCGGCTCTACATACGCCTCAGAGACTTCGTCTCATCCAAGGGCATTCTCATCGATGAACAATTCGGATTCCATACAAATCACTCATGCGTTCAACAGGTGCACCGCCTAACGGAGCACATTGTTGTGGGGCTTAATCGACCAAAACCGTTATACACGGGAGCTCTCTTCTTCGACGTCGCAAAAGCGTTCGACAAAGTCTGGCACAACGGTTTGATTTTCAAACTATTCAACATGGGCGTGCCGGATAGTCTCGTGCTCATCATACGGGACTTCTTGTCAAACCGCTCTTTTCGATGTCGAGTCGAGGGAACCCGCTCCTCCCCGTGGCCTCTTACGGCTGGAGTCCCGCAAGGCTCTATCCTCTCGCCCCTCCTATTTAGTTTATTCGGCAACGATATTCCCCGGTCGCCGCCGACCCAATTAGCTTTATTCGCCGACGACACGACTTTACTATTCGAGTAGAAACAAGTCCCTAATCGCGAAAAAGCTTCAGAGCGCAGCCGTAGCCCTAGGACAGTGGTTCCGAAAATGGCGCATAGACATCAACCCAGCGAGAAGTACTGTGGTGCTATTTCAAAGGGGAAACTCCACACGAATTTATTCCCGGATTAGGAGGAGGAATCTCACTCCCCCGATCACCCTCTTCGGTCAACTCATACCCTGAGCCAGGAAGGTCAAGTCAGGTACTACAGGTGTCACCCTGGATGCATCGATGACATTCCAACCGCACATTAAATCAGTCCACGACCGCGCCGCGTTTATTCTCGGCCGTCTTTATCCTATGATCTGTAAGCGGAGTAAAATGTCCCTTCGGAACAAGATGACACTTTACAAAACTTGCATAAGGCCGGTCATGACTTACGCGAGTGTGGTTTTCGTTCACGCGGCCCGTACACACATAGACACCCTCCAATCTCTACAATCCCGCTTTTGCAGGCTAGCCGTCGGAGCTCCGTGGTTCGTGAGGAACGTTGACCTACACGACGACCTGGGCCTCGAACCAATCCAGAAATACATGAAGTCAGCGTCGGAACGGTACTTCGATAAGGCTATGCGTCATGATAATCGCCTTATCGTGCCGCCGCTGACTACTCCCCGAATCCACGCAGGAGCCAATCACCGTCGGCGCCCTAGACACGTCCTTACGGATCCATCAGATCCAATAACCTTTGCATTAGACACCTTCAGCTCTAACACTAGGATCAGGCTTAGGGACCCCGGTAACCGTACTCGTCGAACTCGACNGTACTTCGATAAGGCTATGCGTCATGATAATCGCCTTATCGTGCCGCCGCTGACTACTCCCCGAATCCACGCAGGAGCCAATCACCGTCGGCGCCCTAGACACGTCCTTACGGATCCATCAGATCCAATAACCTTTGCATTAGACACCTTCAGCTCTAACACTAGGATCAGGCTTAGGGACCCCGGTAACCGTACTCGTTGAACTCGACAAAGAGTTCGACGTGCAACCTAACCCATGCATCAGCTCGCCGAGTTTCTCGCCGGATCTTCTCAGCGGGTCGCGATTCCGATCCGGTAGTAGATTCATTCGCGAAGCAGCTGCTCTTGAGCTGTTAGGTCTCCTTCGGAGGCGCTCGGGCAGCTGTTAGCAAATCCCTCCCGTTCTGGCTGAGCCTTTGCTCGTCCACCTGTCCTGGTGAAACTGGAAACGCCTCCGGGCCACCAGTAATACTTCAATCATAAAAAAAAAGATTATTTTAACATCACACTTGCTTCATACACCATCACCGAAATGAAGATTTTCTCCAATAAGTTTTTGTATAGTTTTTTCCTCGCCAAAGAATCATTCAATAAACGAAAATCCAATTATTTCAAATATAAATAATTTAAGGTCATGAAAAAAAAAATTTATTCGACCTTTTCTCTTATGGTTTTCCTGTTGCAATCGTTTATTGACAGGTTAAGAA